CTAAATTATAGATGCATTTACTGGTTCTGATTCCGTTAAATTTGAATCAACTGGTAATGAATTTCAATGATAATCCATTCTTACAGATCCGTTTGCAAATGTCTCAACAAAATTGAGCCAAAATGGTATACCTTCTGCTTTTTTATATTATTTATTAGATGTTTTTGCTGATGAGGGAAATTCGAAGTTACAGAATTTGCATACAATCGGTATATTTACGTTATTCCCATGTTTTATCTTTACTACCTTTTAATTACCTTTCCTTTCAGACCCGTTTGCTGGATTTGGAGAAGAAAAGTCTGATGATACTTTAGTGCATATCCGAATACAACAGCGGAATGGGCGTAAGACACTTACTACTGTTCAGGGAATTGATCCGGAATATGATCTGAAAAAGATATTAAGATACTCTAAAAAGAAATTTGCATGCAATGGAACCGTAGTTAATCATGATGAATATGGGGAAATTCTACAATTGCAAGGTGATCAACGTAAAAACATTGCGGAAATGCTTGTTGAGTGTCAAATTGTTACTGAGAAGCAAGTAAAGATTCATGGATTCTAAACCCATATGTAAACACCTCGATGATATTCACTCATTTATGATTTAAGTCACCCCATGTGATTTCAACTATTATACAAGTAAAATTACTATATTTTATCCTTTGTTGGTTTTGTGGTCTATTTTATTTATACGATTATACGCATTTTAGATAGTTTTGCTGGATTTCGATACTTGAGTATTTATGCCCTTACAATTTTAATGAATATTTAATTCATTTTCTAGTTATTTGTTTTTAAAAATTCAGGGATCATTTGTTTAAGTGGCTAATTAGTTACTTCCTTCCCATTAGCTTCTAGTCTCATTATTGTTACTCATCCTTAGTTTGTCTGGTTCCGTTACAAACTAAGTGTATCTAGGTATATACTGTAACCAAGTTTATATATTTTGTCTGTACCTTTGTATTATGTATTTAGACACGACATCTTAATTATCCTAAGCTAACATACTGTTAATTAAATAAAAAAGTAACGATGCCCAAAATTATTAATTATTTGCTTTATTTCGGGCCAAATGATATTTTCTAGCCAGATAAACTAAAGATGGATTCTTTAAACAGAAGCCTAATGAATTGCTTCATAGAAAAGACTATGAATTTGCGGGCATTTGCATGGCACTGATAATCATATAAGAATGGCTATTTTATTATGACATAAATATTCTATTGTACTTAATTCGTAATTTTGAGTTAGAGTTTGCAAAATCAGTTACAGGAAGTAGATGGGACTGCCACCTATTAGCTCTTTTCTTGCATTTTTCTATTTGAAAGACATTGTTTATTGATATTGCGATGAGAGTCATGACGAACACGAGCTCAAAGTTGATCAATCAGAATCACAGGATGAGACGAGGGCTTACAATACGACAATCTTTGATGGTAGGAAGACCATGATTGTGAGGTCTTTTGTATGGTAAAGTTATCCTTACGTTGTATATAAATTTAATTGAACTTGGTTTTACAAGTTGGTCATATTGGTAGGAAGACTTAGAAGTCCATTATATACGTGATAATTTGCAAAGTCAGAACCTTGACGTGGAATATTCCCAGACGCTTTGACGGTGAAATTAGTAAATCTTAGTATTCTCAGAAACCAAGTTATTGAATTTATTCTTGTTCCCTTGATCGTGAAATGGCTA